AAGTCACGCGCTGGGGGAAGGCCACACCATGATCCCTTCCCTTCATTCTCTTCCTGGAATCTTGGGCACGCATGCACATGCACCGGCATGATTTTCCAGCCGCCGGGTCCAGGACTTGAAATGCCGTCGGCCATGTGGGAGTCCAGCAACAGAACTGCTACACCATCTGCCGGCTCCTTTAAATTGTTTTAATAAACACTTATTTTGTGTCAGGCACTCTTCTAATGACTTCACAAATGGCAAGTCTTTTTTTTGTTTGTTTGTTTTTTTCTTCTCTTTTGTTGGAGGGTGCATGCACTCACCAGAGGGAGAAACAGAAGAGAAAGGAGCGTCCACATGGGGCACGGTCACAGGTCACACCGCAACCCCTTCTCCATTTCTCCCACCCTTTGCGATTTTGGGCACCGCCACCCCCAGCCCATTTCTCCAGCACTGGGTCTGGGACGCGAACTGTGCGGTTGGCCATGCTGTGGCACGCAGCTGTCTGAGGGCCCAGGCGTGGAGCCGGCCCAAACTGGTTACTCATTTGATCATGAGAACTCTGTGAAACAGGTGCCGTGTCATCCCTGCCTCGGGCAGGAGGGCGCAGGGGCGCAGCGGGTTTAGCAGAGTCACACAGCTGAGTGGAGCAGTTGGGATGTAGCAGGGACGGGATCCAGGGACAGAGCTCCGCACGCCATGGCTTACCAGTGTGTGGCAGGATAGAGGAAATATGGAATTCGGAAGCTAAGTCAGGAGAAGACTGGGAGGGGAAGGAGGTTCTTTATGCGAGAGAAGTCCTGGTGTATCATGCTCCCCGATGCTCCGAGCAGTCGGTGTCCGGATGAAAACGGGGTTGACTTGAACGCCTGTCTTTTTTTTTTTTTTTTTTTGGTAGAGGTATTTGACTTAGAGACAGAGAGACAGAGACAATGAGAGGGAAAGTGAGAAATCACCCCCTGGGGTGATGGCCACACTGCAATCCCTTCTCCATTCTCCTCTCAAGATTTTGGGCACAAATGAACATGCATCCAGTATGAATTTTAAGCCACCAGGTCTGGGACTCAAACCACCATCAGTCATGTGGGAGTCCAGCGACATGACTGCTATGCCATCTGCTGCTCCCTTGAATACCTATCTTTTTTTTTTTCTTTTTTTCGGAGAGGTTTTTACTATAGGGTGCGTGGGCTCGCCAGAAAGACAGAGAGAGAGCCAGAGAGACAGAAAGCAAGAAATAACCCCCAGGGGGGATGGCCACACCACAATCCCTTCTCCTCCTTTCTCCTTTCAGGATCTTGGGCACGCACGCACACACACATGCACCGGGCGGGAGTTTAAGCCATTGGGTCTGGGGCTCGAACTGCAGTAGACTACATGGGAGTCCAGTGACATAGCCATTACACTAACTGCTGGTCCCCCTTGAATACCTATCTTAAAAGCATTTAGGCCCAGCCATGGTGGTGCAGGAGCAAAAGAGCTGCTGCAGGAGGCTAGAGCCACATGGAGGCCTGGGTTGGGATCCAGGGTCGCCCTGAACTCACCCAGTGTGCCCAGCACACCTATGGTCTTCGCTGGTTAGGAGGCTGGGGGAAGGATTGTGGCTTGGCGAGTCCCTGTTCAAGGTATCTGTTTCCCCTTCTCTCTCTTTCATGAAATAAAAATAAAACAATCTTATATTTAAGGGGATATTGTGGACCAGCAGGTGGTGTAGTGGTTAAGGCACTGGATTTCACATGGCCAACTGCACAGTTCAAGTTCTGCCCTGGCAGCTTGAAAATCACACTGAGCACACACGCCCAAGTCCTGAGGGGAGGATGGAGAAGGGACTGCAGCATGACTGTCCCCCACTGGGGGGCGCTTTCTCACTATTCCTCTTGCTCTCTCTGGCAAGCACATGTACTGATGTCAATTTTTTTTTAAAAATTAAGTAAGATGCCAGGAGGTGGTGTGGTAGTAAGGGCACTGGACTCCCCACAAGGTTGATGGCGGTTCAAGTCCCTGACCTGGCAGCTTTCTTTCTCACTTTTTCTCTGTTCCTCTCTGGTCAAAATAAAATAAATACATAAAATAAAGTTCAATTTAAAATTTTTAAATAAAACTATCAAGTTGTGAATCACTTCAACTACTTGAAAATAACCCCAAATCCAGATGTAAGTAAGTACTGTACTCAGTGGGAAATTATACAGAGTACAACTGGCTAAAAGCTCCAAATTCAGGAGCCAGCGGGTGGCATGGAGCTCAGGGTGCTGGATCCCACGTGGCCGGCTGCACAGTTTGAGTCCTGGACCTGGTAGCTCGAAAACCACGCCCAGGGTGCGTGTGCATTCCCCAAATCCCAAGCAGAGAATGGAGGAGAACGGATTTCAACACGGCCATCCCCCTGGGGAGTGACTCCTCTCTCTCTGGCAGGCTCACAAGCCCTGTAGCAAACCAACACATAACAGCTCAAGATCCAGCTGTTCTAGGCAGCTGAGTCAGCGTGCTGGGCTGCCGTGGCCAAGTGCCATACAGTGACGGTCTAAATAACGGAGGTTGCCTCACGGCCCTGGAAGCTGGGAGCCCAACGCAAGGTGTGAGCAAGGCTGGCGGCCCAGGGCCCTGGGGAAGCCCGCGTCCGCCTCTCCTCCTGGCCGGGGGGTGACTGTCGTCTTCCCTGGGAACACCTGTGTCCGAATTCCCCTTACGAGGAGCGCAGTCATGCTCTGCTGAAGTTCTCACCAACAGGCTCGTGCCACGCGATGACCTCTGTGAAGACTCTGGCTCCAAGTAAGGCCACACCCTTGGGCCGAGGGTCAGGACGCCAGCGGTCTTCTTGGGAGCTGTGTGCCACTGGGCAGGGCAGGCGCAGGCGAGCCAGGGCCAGAGTCCGGCTTCCCCATTGGCTAGTTGTGAGGCCACGTGGCACCCATTTCCCTCCTGGTGAGGATGAGGCGGGTGGGGTTCCCTGTCACGGCTGTGAGGACCCGTGGGCCACAGCGTGCGGCGGGGAGGGGGACCGGTGCACCCAGGGAGCCATCACTTTAGTCCTCGGGACCCACGAAGTGCCAGGCACGGTCTGAGCTGCTGGAAATACAGAACCGAACACAACAGGCAGACCTGCCCTCCAGGAGCTCATGATCCCCAGGGATCCAGTGTACAGGGCCAGCGGTGGCATGGCGGTAAGGCGCTGGATCCCACAGGGCCTTAAATCATGCTGGGCAACGGGAGAATGGAAGAGAAGGGACTGCAGCGTGGCCACGGGAGGGGGGTCCTCACTTTCCCTGTCTCCTGGTGGGTGCAAACGGGGGTAGCGGGGTGGAGTAGACTACAGAGGACGTAATTCACGACGCAGGAACACCTGCTACCAGGAAAATCGGCAGGGTCATCCAGCGCTGCCTGAAAGGTGGGTCCCCCGGACAGGGCCCTTCAGACAGCGCCGGTTCTGCACCGCCGGCCTCCCCCGGACTCCTAGGCCTGTGTGTGCAGCGTCTGCTGCTGGTAGGACCCGTGGCAGCCCCAGGTCTCCTAGCATCCCTCCCCCTTCGACGACAGCCTGTGCCGGCCAGGAGTCTGCCACCTGCTGCAGTTGAGAACCAACGAGAGGCCTAGCTGGATGGAGGCTCGGCGGAGGCCAGGACAGAGGAACCAGGGCAGGAGAAACTCTGCAGGCGGCAGGTCGTCCTGCGGGGTTTAGGCCTGCACATGCACACTTAGGGCCTCGGCTGCCACGCTGCGCCGCGACTAGAGGTGAAAAGACAAACCCGAGCCGGTTGGGAGACCCGGTGACAGCCCAAGGACGCGATTACGGGCCACGGGCTGGGGCGGGGCGTTAGGGGCCCCAGGCGGGCAGGGGCAGGCCAGGCCGGCGGAGGTCCCCAGGCCCGAGCACCCTACGGGGAAGGCGGGCGCAGGCTGCCCAGAGAGGGAGCCCTTAGGACGGGCAGCGAGGAGGGCTGCAGCCTGCAGAAGGGGCGTCAGTGCCCTTAACCCGGGCGTCCTGAGGGGCGGACGGGACGTCCCAGAGCCTGGGTGGCAGAGGCGGCCGGCGTGGCGGTGGCCGGGGCACGCGGGTGTCTCCCGCCTGGCCGTGGCACTCGCGCCGGGCGTCTGTGCCCGCAAGTTCGAAAC